AGAAGCTGTAGGAAACAGAGCCATGTGAAGAGGTTATTCCAGTTGTTCATAGTTACAGTGTAGCTGGAGAAAAATAGATGGATTTTCTTTCTTTTATTGGGTCTAGGGGGGCACCTGGGTGGCTCGGTCAGTTGAGCCTCAGATTCTTAGGTTTTGGCTCAGGTCATGATCTCATGAGTTGTGAGATCAGCCCTGAGTCAGGCTCGGTGCTCAGCACGGAGTCTGCTTGAAGATTGGGTTGTGAGATGAAGTTTTTAAAGGCTTATTTTGTTCCTTTTGTGTTGTTTGTGTTAAGAGAATGTATTATAGCTAAAGCACCATTCATTACAAGGGTGGGAAGAATGATTCATGGAACCACATTTAAAACAATGAGTTATGGAACTTGGAAGACTAGGTTTGTAAGCAAAGAAATTCTCATTTAAAGCAGAAACCTACATCAGCCAGAGGTCAATCTATGTTACAGTGTTGTCTCTAGTAGTCCACATCAGGTATTTTTAAAAATTTTAGAGTGGTGCTTGGTAATTCTAACATAAACATTAACATGATAATAACTTCCTCATGAAAATAAACAGCTAAGCTAAAAATACATGTTTCCTACTAGGACTTCCACAAAGACCATACAGATACTTCACATATTTTATGTATGTATGTATGTATGTATTTAAGAAAGTGAGTGAGAGAGAGAGAGCACAGGAGCACGGATAGAGTGAGAAGGAGTGGGAGAAGCGGACTCCCCTGCTGAGCGAGGAGCCCGACAGAGGGCTCGATCCCAGGACCCTGGGATCATGACCTGAGCTGAAGGTAGACACTTAACCAACTGAGCCATCCAAGCATCCCTTCACATATTTTATTTAGACACTTAAATTACCTTTCATGTAATTACATAGTCTCCATTTTATTTAATATCTAAAGCAAAACATACTGGAACAGAAATTAGATAAACAGGCATTTCTCACCTGACAGTATCTTTGCAATTTTCAAAGATAAGCTGTGTGAAACTTGTGAGAGGAAAAAAAATCACTACTATTTCTATTGATTTTAACCACACATTGGAAAAGGAATACATACATTTAAGTTTGTTAAGTCTAATGAGCACCTTGTTACAACACCCATTCATTATGCATGAATCAATTACCTGAACTGTTAATTTTTTAACTGCCCCAAATTTTGGACATTGTTATTTTTATTTAAGAACATTTTGGGAAAATCACACTTGTTCTAATTTTCAGTTATGGCAAGCGGCCCTCTTGGCACAGTGGGCAGCGTGTCAGTCTCATAATTTTCAGTTATGGCAGCAATTTTCTATCAGGCTTCTAAAAACTTACATTTATATCATATGTAATGGGTAGATAATGTGGCATAATTTTGTTACATTTGTAGTTAGCAGGGGAGAAACTGCCCTGTTGTTCCTACACCAAGGGAAAAAATATAAGGACTATATAACTCATGAAGAATATTAACATTTTCTATCACAAAATATTGATAAAATTGGAATTATATTAATCCAATTATAGAGCTTAACATTTTAGTCAAAGTATTAAGATAATAAAATAAGGCTCTTAGCTTCATATCAAGACCTATTTGAATATTTATATAAGAATATTAAAAGCATTTATCTCCTCATTTATGGCTTGATTTAGTATAATGCCTCATCTGTTCCTATCTTAATAGTTTCTTAGTATAATGAATCATTATTAGAATATAATGATAAGGCATGACAATACTATATAGGTATTTGCAGAGATATTTCAGTGCAAAACCTCATTCACATGTAACCCAAATATATTTATTGCCTTAATCTATACTTTGTCAAATGCAAACATTTTAATTTTCACCAATTCTTAACTTTAACCATGGGGTTGGAATTAAGAAATTTCATTCTTATCTACTAATGTAGTTGGAAAATATTTTTGTTCACTTTGCAAAGTCATTAGAACCCAATTAATCAACTTCTAAGTGCATTAAATACTATAAAATCTTTTTTTCCCAAATAAGATACAGGTATCAAGTATTTGTTCTTGCTCTTTTTATTCCCAAAGCCTTAATGTAACAATTCAATGTTACATGTTGTATACTTCTAGTAAAAAGCCCGCCTTCCTTCTACACTCCTACAATATAGTATTACATATTTTTAAGGAAGTGGGTGGACTTATTTGAGGATGATATGCTTTTAAAGAACAGATTTGTCAAGCCAAGCCACTGATATGTTCTTAGAACCATAATAGTATAATGTGTAATTTAGTGGATTTAGTTATTTTAAAAGATATTTTCCTACTTCCCTGATAAATGAAATTAACCATCACCTTTGATTTAGTTATGTCTCCGAAAGGTATAAATAGCATGTAATAGAGCATCTTTTAGTCACAGAGTTTAATGTGGAAAAAGCAAATATATGCTGTATATACAATGTAGTAAACGATTTTAAAAATTCAATAGTTTTTCCTCTTTTTTTGGTTAAAAAACAGTATTTACTTTTGTAGATGAATTGCACATCTAATATCACAGAAAATCTTCTAATGGAATAACTTGTAAAATCTCTACCCCAACAAATTAATTCAGTGTCTAGGAAGTACTGTATTGAAAACCAGTGCATTATGTTCTACAGTGTCTAGAATTGAAATTTAAACAAGCAGGGTGTTGCTATTGAATACAAAAATGTGATAGAAAAGTCTCATTAGTGGCTGGAGAAACAGTCATCTGCAGAACTAATTCATTCCATTAGATTCACTGGTAGTAGCATGGTTCAAAATTTTGATTGGCCTTTAGTTATGGAAAATAACAAAATACTAATGTAGACGCACAAAAAACTCCTTTGAGTTGGAGATCCATTCATGGCTAGAAAAGGAAAAAAAAAAGTTAATTTACAACTGGTTCATAATTCATTTAAGATATTCTTTTTTTTTTTAAAGATTTTATTTATTTATTTGACAGACAGACACAGCGAGAGAGGGAACACAAGCGGGGGAGTGGGAGAGGGAGAAGCAGGCTTCCCGCTGAGCAGGGAGCTCCATGCGGGGCTCGATCCCAGGACCCTGGGATCATGACCTGAGCCGAAGGCAGACACTTAACGACTGAGCCACCCAGGCGCCCCTCATTTAAGATATTCTTATTGTATATACCCAGTTATGGAAAATGATTTAAATTGATATACATAAAACCAAAGGAAATGTACTGCACTTTTGTGGTAACTTTTTATATGTACATTCAGTGAAACAATGGTTTATCTGACTTTAGTCAAGGTATGTTTCAATTACTGAAGGGAGGATTGAGTAGATTTCTTCCTTGGTATCTTATTTAGAGGCTAAATATGTCTAAACATATCTGTTAAGAGAGATCTATAATTTGTGAACTTACTAAAATATATTTTGAACTTCCTCTAGTCCCCTCCAGATATCAAATTTGATGTTTATTGCTGCACAATTTTAATGGAGAGAGAAATAATGACTACTATTCTGTAGACCCTTTATTTGGCAAGTCATATTGATGCACATGTGATTTAATTTTATTAACTATACATCTACAGTAATAACAATGTCTGCAGTCTTTTATTAACTATAAATCTGCTATTTTAAAAATTTTTCAAAAGGTTCTGCAGAACAATTGACATTTGTGTATTTATTGCTCCTCATGGTATACTTAGGCATTTTAAAACTTATTGAAGTATAATAAACCTATAGAAAAAGTACACATATAAGTATACAACAATATGAATTTTCCCAAACTAAACACACATATGCAACCATTACCCAGATCAAGTAACAATACATTAGTATCCTGGTAGCCCTCCTTATGCTCCCTTCCAATCAGTAGCTGCCTTCAAGGATAACCTTACTGATTTTAATAACCATAGATTATTTTTACCTGCTTTTAGTACTTAAGCAGTTTTTAACATAACAAAGGCTGTCATTTTCAGTGTTAAAGTCAGATTCTGTGTGGTTTAGAGCTGTCATTCCCAACATTATTTATGTCCATTGCTCTTGAGGGATATCATACATTCCCGTCATTATCAATGGTTTACAGTTAGAACCTCTTGGCAGTAGTGTAGGAGTATACAATTAGGAAGAAAAGACTCCAAGGTGATTCTGTCATGTTAGGGTTTCTCAAACCTCAGCAGTATTAACATTTTGGGCTGGACAATTCTTTGTTGTGGGAGACTGTCCTAGTCATTATATGATCTTTAGCAGCATCCCTGGCTTTTAGCCACCAGATGCCAATAATACCCATCCCCCAGTTGTGAAAACTAAAAATGTCTCCAAACATTGCTAAATGTCCCCTAGGGGGGCAAAATTGCCCCTGATAGAGAGCCACTGCACTAAGGTGAATATATCCCTTATTTGATGTTCACTCTTTAAAGGTTAACAGAACAATAAGTAAAAGTTTTACTAAAGTAGCACTGAGTCCTTTAAAAGAAGAGGGTTTTAGTAATCAGCATCACTTAGCAATGTATTGGCCTACTTAAAAAGATGCTAAGGTCCATGTCACTTGGTCATCTTGGAGGATGTTATAGAAGGTAGATATTAGAGTACATGACCTATAAAGTATTCTTCATCAGCCTCACTATAATTGTGGGATTTAAGGCTGGAGGATCTTAAAATCTATTGAGTAAGACAGACCTCCTTGCTTTCAAAATACTGAAAAATTTCTATCTATAGTAATAAGACCACATTCAAGACTAAAAGACAAATTCTATTAAAACATGCCTCTTCTCCATACACCATTCTTCTTCATAATTGTCTATGACATTTTCTACTTGCTTTAGAAAAAATTAGGGTGTTTTTTTTCCCAAAAATTTGAATAAAATTAGTTCAAAAACAATTATATTACCTGTGTTTGAATCATTCTAAAGTTTCTTAATTCATACTATAAATCAGTAAGGAAAACATGGGGAAATCTTTAAGAGAAAAAACGAACTGGAAGATTTTAGTTCACTTTGATATTTTACCACAATTTTTGAAGGCTGTTATATATAGAATATATATAAATTTCTATTCTTAATAGGATTAGAAATACACAAGGGAACTTACACAAGTCCATTTGTCTTCTGTTTTCTCAATCATAATAGTCTGTGTGTCACTATCTGGTGGTATATATTCATAGTCATCATAAAGGAGGCCTAGGATTGGATATTGTGTCCTGTACCTATACAGAAAAAAGTTAATTTACCACCTGCACGAGAAAATGACTCTCATTCCTTTTTAGTCACTCCTAGTTTGATTCTCCTTATTATGTTAAGTTGGCTCTTAATGACTTTTAACTCTAAAAAGAGAATATCTACAAAGCCTTACTACTATTATTTTCAAAAGAGTAAGAAGGAAGTACCTCTGCTTCTGCAATGATGGACCACTGGCAGCACAGGACAATGATCTTAGAGAAGGGAACCAAATGACATGAGCCCTACAAGTGCCTAGCTCACTACTTGGAGATTTTCTTGCTCACAGGATACGGAAAGTGGAGCCAAATAAATCCCTTCAGTCACAAAGTTGAAGTGACAGAATTTCAAGTAAAGGTATGCCAAAGCAGCTGGTATGGGGCAGAATACCAGACAGAAGAGAACTACATAAATAAGAGTCAAAAGACCTGTAGAGGACTCTCTACAAGTCTTTGGAAGTACTGATTAGTGTAGGCATGTGGAAAAACTACTGAAGCTGGGGAAAGAAGCACTGGAAAGGAGCAGCCTGGAAATCCCTGGAGTTCACATAATGAAGGGAATAGCTTGTGTTCCACTAACCAGAGTGGAAAGACCTCTTAATGCAAGGGCATCAGGAAGAAACTGCAGAAGAATATTGTGTTAGTGTTGGGATAACATTAGTCCTAGACTGCAGGTTTTAACAGTTTAAAAGCAAGACTTGAAAATATTGAAATGTATCCAGCTAATTCCATCTCAGAATAAAACCACAGAACACTTGCAGTGAAATAAAAAATCCAGAATTCAAGTGTGTAAAATTACAATACATGGCATTCAATACAAAAATTAGTAGGTATGGGAGCAGGTAGATATGACTAATAATGAGGAGAAAAACAAATTAGTAGAAAAAGAACAAGAAATGACAGATAAAAGAAATAAGTAGTCATGGTTTCATCTATTAAAAATATTTTTTTTAATGGATACTCAAGAATAGGAAAGCATGAATGTGATGAGAACAATGGAGGATATAAAGATCTACACTGGACTTCTGAAGATGAAAATTACACTGTATGGGATTAACATTAGAATAGGCCCTGAAGAAGAAAATATTACTGAATTTGAAGACATGAAGAGAAATTATCCAAAATAAAACACAAGAGGAAAAAAAAACTGGAAAAATGTACGGAGTATGAGTTACCTATGGGAAATATTAGTTGCCCTCACATATGTGTAATTGAAGTCCTACATGACTGGCAGGAGACAAAAAAATAATTGAAGAAATAATGCCCAAATTGTTTCCAGATTTGATGAAAACTCTAAACACACAGATCCAAGAAGCTCAGGGAAACTCAAGAAAAAGAATGATGAAGAAAAACAGAGGCAAAGAGAAAGGACCCAAATAAATAAAATCAGAAAAAAAGAAGTAACAACTGACACCACAAAAATAGAAAGCATTATAAGAGAATACAGTAAAAAATTATATGCCAAAAAGTTGGACAACCTGGAAGAAAAGGAAAAATACCTAGAAACATACAATCTTCCAAAACTGAATGAAGAAGAAATATAAAATCTGAGCAGACTGATTACTAGTAACAAAATTGAATGAGTTGTCCAAAAACTATCAAAAAATAAAGTCTAGGGGGTGCCTGGGTGGCTCAGTCAGTTAAGCATCTGACTTTTGATTTCGGCTCAGGTCATGATCTCGGCTCAGGTCATGATCTCAGGGTTGTGAGATTGAGCCCCACATCGGGTTCTGCACTGGGTATGGAGCCTGCTTAAAGATTCTCTCTCTCGTGTTATGCTGAACAAAATAAGTCAATCAGAGAAAGACATGTATCATATGACCTCACTGATACGAGGAATTCTTAATCTCAGGAAACAAACTGAGGGTTGCTGGAGTGGTGGGGGTGGGAGGGATGGGGTGGCTGGGTGATAGACATTGGGGAGGTTATGTGCTATGGTGAGCGCTGTGAATTGTGCAAAACTGTTGAATCACAGACCTGTACCTCTGAAACAAATAATACATTATATGTTTAAAAAAAAAAAAAGAAGAAGAAGAAGATAGCAGGAGGGGAAGAATGAAGGGGGGGAAATCAGAGGTGGGGACGAACTTTGAGAGACTATGTCTGAGAAACAAACTGAGGGCTCTAGAGGGGAGGGGGGTGGGAGGATGGTTTAGCCTGGTGATGGGTATTAAGGAGGGCACATACTGCATGGAGCACAGGGGGTTATACACAAACAATGAATCATGGAACACTACATCAAAAACTAATGATGGAATGTATGGTGATTAGCATAATATAATAATAAAAAAAAGATTCTCTCTCTCCCTCTCTCTCTGCCAGTCCCTATCCCTCTCTCCGTCTCTCTCTCCCTTTCTAAAATAAATAAATAAATAAAAGTCTAGTTGTTAATTTTAGCCATTCTGACAGGTGTGAAGTGATATCTTGTTGTAGTTTTAATTTGTAGTTCCCTGATAATGAGTGATGTTGAGCCTCTTTTCATGTGTCTGTTAGCCATCTGTTTGTCTTCTTTGGAAAAAATTCAATTCATGTCTTCTGCCCATTTTTTAACTGGATTATTTGTTTTTTGGGTGTTGAGTTTAATAAGTTCTTTATAGATTTTGGATACTAACCCTTTATCAAATATGTCATTTGCAAATAAATTCTCCCATTCTGAAAAAAAAAAAAAAGTCTAGGACCAGACGGATTCATAGGCGAATTCTACCAGTTAAAAAGAATTACAGAGAGGAGTTAAGATGGTGGAGGAGTAGGGGGACCCTAAATTTGTTTCATCCCTTGAATACAACTAGATAGTTATCAAATCATTCTGAACATGGGACAAATCAATTGGAGGCCTGAGAAAACAAATACTGCAAATCTTTGAGTAGAAAAGCAACCACCATTTGGAAGGTAGGAGGTGCAGAGATTTGAATCAGGTGTGATATAGCTGAGGCTATGGCCAGAGGGGAGGGAGCCTGCTTAAGGAGGCTACCACAAAGTATTATAAGCAGTGGATCACAAAATTGGAACTTTTAGAAGTCTGCTACAGTGGGGGACATGCTGGGCTTAAAGGCAGTGAAGCAGGGCAGAATCCCAGGTGTGACAGCATGGTCCGAAGATTCCCCTGGGTTGCAAGAAGAATGGGTGGTGCCTAAGTGCTGGCCTGTTCCCAGGCAAAGGAGCATGGAAGCTGGCTGAGAACAGTGAGTCTAGGTGCCAGCTTTCTGCTCTGTGTTGCCATAAACTTCGAACCACCACACATTCCAGCGACTGCTTTCCTGAGAGGTGTCCAACAAAAGGCAGATGCACCTGGAGACACTCCCTGGGAGGAGTAGTGCTGGTCTTCACTGTGGGAGTCCCTAAAATTTGGAGTTTTGAAACTCAGTCCCGTGCCTGAGATAAAAAGCTCAACACAGGCAGGGTGAACAGAGCTCTGATGGGAACTGGGGAGACAAGAGTGATTGCTCTTTTGTGAGGGCTCACTGAAGAGTGGGGGGTGCGAATTTTCAGCTCGGGCCAGAGAGCAGGGCACAGCAATACTCATCCTGCAGATCAGTGCTGGAAGACGGCACAGAGCAAAACAGCACCACCTAGTGGAGTCCAGAGCTGCTCACAACAAGCCCTGCCTCCCTGGGCACTGGAGGTGCATTTCCACTAGAGCAAGTCCACCTGAGAATCACCGCAAAAGTCCCCTCTCCCAGAAGACCAGCGCAAACAACTCACACCAAATTTACTAAAGAAAATAGTATCTAGTATCCTTTGTACTTTTATTCTTTAGTTTTTATTATAATTTTTTAAGCTATTTTCTTATTTTTTCAATTTTTTAAAAATTCTTTTTAAATTTTGTCCATATATATTTTTTTATATATATTTTTAGTTTTTGTTCCCTCTCACTGTATTTTATATATATATATTTTTTTTTTTTTTTTTCTTATTTTCGGACCAAGTTTCTTTTAACAAGCAGACCAAAACACACCCAGGAGCTAGTTCTGTTTGTTTGTTTTGTTGTTGTTTTCTTTTTCTTTCTTCTTTTCTTTTCTGGACAAAATGACAATATGGAGAAATTCACCCCAAAAGATAGAACAAAAGGTATTACTCACAGCCAGTTATTTAATGAGTACAGATATAAGTAGGATGTTTGGGTTAGAATTTAAAACAATTATACAGATACTAGCTGGGCTTGAGAAAAGCATAGAAGACACTAGAGAATCCCTTATTGTAGAGATAAAAGAACTTAAATCTAGTAAAGCCAAAATTAAAAAAGCTATAACCAAGATGCAGTCCCAAGTGGAGGCCATAAAAATCAGTGATATGGAAGATAAAGTTATGGAATATAATGAAGCTGAAAAGAAGAGGGAAAGAAAATTATTAGATCATGAACATAGACTTAGGAAACTCAGTAATTCCATAAAGTGAAATAATATCAATATTAAAGGAGTCTCAGTAGAAAAGTGGGAAAAAGGGTCAGCAGGTTGATTTGAACAAATTATACCTGAGAACTTCCTTAACGTGGGTAAGGAAACAGGCTTTCAACTCCAAGAGGCACAGAACTCCCCTCAAAATCAACAAAAATAGGTCAACATCATGACATATTATAGTGAAACTTGCAAATTGCAAAGATAAAGAGAAAATTCAGAAAGCAGTTGGGGAAAATAGGTCCTTAACCTATAAGGGTAGACACATAAGGCTGGCAGCAGATCTGTCCACAGAGATCTGGCAGGCCAGAAAAGATTGGCATGATATACTCAACATCCTAAATTGGAAAAATATGCAGCCAAGAATACTTTATCCAACAAGGCTATCATTCAGAATAGAAGGAGAGATAAAGAGTTTCCAAGACAAAAATGAAAGGAATTCATGAACACTAAACCAGCCCTGCAAGAAATATTAAAGGGAACCCTTTCAGCAGAAAGAGAGACCAAGAGTAACAAACACTAAAGGAAGAGAGACAATTTACAGAAACAGCAACTTTATAGGTAATACAATAGTACTAAATTCATATCTTTCAATAA